TATAGAAAAAAAAAAAATCTTATATAATCGCAAAAAAGATAATGAAAGGAAAAGAGTTATATATGTATATATATATATATATTTTGAATTAACAAAAATATTATGATACCATTAATATCGTTTGCATTCTGCGGTAAGATATTTTGTTAATTTTTATAAAAAAATTAGTTTAAAATGTATATATTACAGCAATTTTGTTCGATTCACACACATACGCGAAACGACTCGCGAGTGAAATCGTGGTATTAATACAAGATGTAGTACATGCGCAAAAATTTCCGTAAATGTCGTTAGTTACACACAATTTCTTGATCGATTAATGAAATAATATCACAGGAAAGGATGCTATCCGTGAGAAAACGCGACAAATCCACCGTCCTGTAATTATTCTCGAATTATTATAATTCGTAATTATGGAGAATTCAGCCGATAAACTCTCATACCACGAAGAATTTACCAAAATTATTAAAAATCGATCGAATCTACTTTCTCGGCACACGTGTTGGCTTACGTTGAGCGGACTTGAAAAATTGGACACAATACCTTGAAGGCCATTGTTGCTTGGTTGATCGGTACTTCGCTCGATCTTGTGAGTTTGTAATGCGAGTGATACCAAAGGATGGATGGTTTTCGGCTTTTATACCTCTCTGTTCGGGAACCGCGAGAGAGGCCCACTATATTCCACGGCACACATACACGTACACATAAAACAGAGCATATTCACTGATGTAACTGGGTGACGGTACCCTCGACGGTTACCCGATTCGCGGCCAACGAGCAGCGAAATTGCGCAAGAAATCGAACCACGCCCAACAAAAGCGAGCAACATCGGGATCAGATCGATCCTCTGCTCTCGTAACCCGAAAGATCCGAAGAGTGCACCGGTCGTTGTCTTCATCGTCGTCGAGGACTAGGCCACGTCCTTGCCGATGAGTTAGCTAATCCTCCTCCGTTCGATCCGTCCGCCTCGAGAATTACAAAATACTTTTCTCGGTCTTTCTCTCCCATTCTACCGAATTTTTATATCTTTTTTTCTTTTCTTTTCCCACATGTAACAATCCTACATCTTACAAATAATCCATTTTATAGACTTAAACTCTGATATATCGCGAGAATCTATATAATCTGCAGTTCGTGAAAATTCAAATATAGGATGTGAATTAATATAATAATTAAGAAGCAAATTAAAATAATGATCTCTGTTCATGGTCATTAAGAATTTGTAATATTTATATTTCTTGCTATAATTCTCAAGACTTTTTATATAAGAGAAAGGTTGTCTATCTGCTATAATTAAAAAATTATTTTTTTTTCCGGAAGAATTGTACATTAATTAAAAAATTATTTTTTTTTTCCGGAAGAATTGTACATTTCTACATAAGACAATATTCTCTTTGAAAAGTTGTGCAGAAATCATTTTGGATTTAATATAAATTGTAGATTCTTAATATTTATTATTTTAGTTTTAATATGTCTTCCTTTTACACAGTTACATAATTACTGAGTATAATCAAATGTTTATTCTCATACATGTTCTTTATATTAAGCTTATGCTTGCAAATCTCTTGGCTCGTAATAAATAGCATGACTTTCTTTTTCTTACCTTTATAGAGACTCTCTTGGCTATCATCAAGTTACTCATCTCTATAAATTCATAGAGCTCATCCGTCATTCTATTCTCTTTACTAGATATGTTTTAGCTCGTCTTTGATCGGTGATTTTAATGTCCGCACGTTTGTTAATTCTGTACTACTCGGTCTAGGCATTCTAATTTATAATATATTGAAAGGCCCTTTATCGCAGAGCTATTTTTCACGGTTGTCATGATTGCTTAGAAATGACGTTAGTGGATATTACAATGTTCTTGCGAGATAACTCTTTTTTTAAATTGATGATTGAAATCCGTAATTAGTGATTTCGACAACCGAGATGTCCGAAGATGACATTGAAAATCTTACAACATAAGCATATTTCTCTCTAACTGAATTAATTTTTTTTTATCACAAATATTAATAAATCTTTATAACATTGAATATTATTAGCATTATTATATAAATAATAGGAAGTTATATATATTTTTTACATTATATGTATATATATAGTAGAGTAAATTTTTATTAATTATAATATTCTAAGTATGAGAGGGGGTGGATACTACAATTTATGATTCTCTAATATAATTTATTTAACATTTAATGAGATACTAATTTAAAATTATGTTTAAATTAGGGTTTCTTCATCGATTATGTCACGTTATTATTGTGTTAATTAGTATATCTATTCCAATCTTTTATCACTCTTTAATTTCAGTCTTAATTACCAGACATTACCATTGTAACGCGAAATGCAATTTAATCAACATGACACATTGCACAGTAGTGTGCAATGAAAAATTACACATTGCTACTTGCGTTGCAGCTTGCGTGAGCGTTGACTGTGTGCTGATCGACATTCAAACAGAATTTAATGGGTATGTAGGCTGGATATCCCAAACCGAAATAATTATGCGAACTGTTTCGAAATTTATCCCGTGTAATTTGAAGCCTGCCGGATGTATCTCCTGGATCTCGAAATACATTATTTGACACGCGTACGTGACAAGCAAACATACTTCACTCAGAACTGATAATGATTGAAAAAAGGGAATTTAATTATAAACATAAAGAGAAATTCGCAAAAGTTAATATATGTCAATCGCGTATAAATATTTTACATAAACCAAAATTATAGCTTGTAGAGATTTGTGACGTTACAAGTGTGCAATGTTTTAAATTAAAGATAATTATAAAAATATACATATATTAACTTTTGCGAATTTGTCTTTAAGTTTATAATTAAATTCTCTTTTTTTGAATGTTTTATGTAAAATATATATATATATATATATAACATAGAAACATACATATCAAATGAAACAAAAAGAGAGAAAGAGATTCAGTTATATATTTATTTTAATTTACTTTACAAATGTGTATAATGTCATGTATTGCATTGAAATTGTACACTTGTAGCGATATTTATTCTGTTTTTTAATTTCAGAGCAAATGAGAAATATATAAAGATATCTCGTATCTTTACGTATATAAAGAGAAGAGAGAAAAGCGAAGGTCGTTAATATTAATACATAAATACGACGTATAGATGTATCCCGTTATAGTAATAGTACGCGACTCACACGATTCGATTTCAAAAGAGAGTTACAAGACTTGTCTCGATAATTGACACGCGCTGCAGGGATCCGGATTAAAGTGTTTTCCTCGACCAAGAAGGTGAACAGTTTCAATGTCCGGGATGTAATTTGCTGCCAATTAACGCACGAACTTCCTGTCGCGACCTTCAATCTTTCTTATAATTAACTGAATCAAAGTCAACGGGTCTCTTTTTTTATGCCGAACGCGAGAAGAAAGATGGGAAAGAGATCTCCATTGATGTTTATATTTCATAAACTGTTCCCCTATATGGGAAACGTCGAAAGCGTTTTCGTGATGTTAAAAAAAAAAACAAGAGCGATATTATCATAATATACTTGAATTACTGAATGCGTTCTTTACGAATGCACGACGATAAATTATATGAAATTATGATGAAGTAAGATTCAATTATATCGGTATTAATTAAATTTTTCAGTATAAACATCTCTCTTTGCGAGCAAAACTAAAGTGTATATATATTTATTTAAAATTTATTATTTAAAAATATATTATTTAAAATATATATTTATATATATATATAGACAGATTTTATAATACATATTTCTCGACAGATTTAATTCATGGCAATTATAATGACATGAGATGAATTAAAAACTGTCCAGAAATATATATTTTTTGCTTTTTTCATAAGTAGAACGATACGAAAAGCGATTTGTCTTGTGCATGTCACGTGCGAAACATGTCTAAAATTTCCAAAATCATTTCCTCGATTGCATAATCGCATGTAACGCCCGAACAACGGGCATTTAGTTAGCTTTCAGGTTCCAATGTATCGGCAATTTGTCGCGTTAGATTGAAATAATGTTTTCACGCAGATCTCATGGGCAAGAGCGCGGTCCAGGGGATAAAGCGGACGAGAAAAATCGAACGCGACGGTGACGAGCGAAATCTCGAGCCTCGATCGACACGAGGTTGCTCGATAATGCCCGGGGGCCCGCAATCGATCGGGGCGGGACCCCGCCGCGCGATATTCGCGCGGGCGACCTACCTATTTCTTCTTTATGAAAGTGCTCTACTTCACTCTCTCTCTTTCTTTCCTTCTCTGGCCGTCGCACGGGCCCCGATGATGTTAGATGATATGACGCAATAATGCGTATCCCGTCTTTCGCGACACATTCGGCAAAGACACGTATGGAATGTCTGGAAAGTTTCGCGACAACGACGATGAGGAGGAGGTAGTGGTGTTACTTGTGTTTCCTCGACTATGTGGGTGATCTACTTGATAGAGATCACTCTTCGTATGTGAGAGGATACAGAGTATCCCTGAACACTTTGGTCGATTTCGAAAAAGGCCTCAATATATGTCGTTTATTTTTATAAATAATCTTGTTTGCATACGGGTTGTTCTAGAACCTATCAAGAAAGAACCCTTTTCAATTTTATAATTTTAAAATCCAATATATTTGTGATAATCCTTTTTTATAGAAAATTTTGCAAGATAAATCATGATTCGTCTCATATACTTATATTATTAAAATCTATTTCTACGTATATAGAATATTTAAGAATCTCTCTCTCTCTCTTTCTTTCTCTCATTAATTATAATTTTAAAAACAAATTTGGGCATTATATTAAAATATGCAAAAAAATATCAATTTCTTAAAATATCCTTAAGTAAAAAGAATTTATATTATATTCTTGTATTTCAAAATTATTTTTAGAACCATTAAAATCGTATTCTAAAAATAAATATGTAACAGTCTATCACATATCAAGACATGTTTGTATAAAGATCAACTCCTGTCACGATTGCCTGGAAATTCTTGCACTCTATATTATATCTTTAGCCGAATCCAATGGTACAAACTTCTCTTAGGTAATCATGATAAAAGTCTATACTATAATTTTCTAATTTATTCTCGATTAATGCCTCATGAGAAATCGTCGAACCATTCAAGGACCGTATACGAGAAGTGACGTTTGGCATGGTCAGTAATATACAGCCAAACGTGTATTGCGCAATGACACATGACAATTACGCCAATAGATGGAAAAAGCAGACGAATTGAATTATGACATGCTGGAAGAAATAATGAATTATTATCAATATTCACGCACTGGCAATTGGCCCTTGTTATTATAATTTTTGAAGATCCTTCCTTATTCACTTTTTAAAATAAAAGAGATGAATCAATCAAAAATGTAAAAAAATGCATAGTCATGATATTCGTTCTTTTTATTTTTTACTACTTGAGAACAAGTTTTTATTACACTTCAATAATATAATAATAATATCTATTTTTTATATAAGGAATAGGAGGAGAAAAATTTAAATTTTTTTAAATGTTCCATTCATTAACATTGTTTATTATTTTCTTGTCTGTAACATTGAAATCTACGCATTTTAATATATTTTAGGCAGTTAATAATAACTTTTTAAAAACATTATACTTTATCTTTTTTTTTTATTCAGGTAATGCCTTATTTCTTAAAATAAAAAAATTTGTATTGCATATATATACATGTAGTTATCGCTTTATTAAAGCGAAATTATTCAGATACTGTTTCTACTGAGAAAAATTTCTCGCCACGCTAAATTGTTCCAAGTGTCCGCGATGTATATGAATCGGGAGCGAGGGTGCGCCATCGCAAGTGCCGGCCAAGTTCAAGTGCGGTCGACCGTCGACGAACTTTCAAAGTCTGGCACCGGGATCATCGGTGGGGGCCTATACGGTTCGGGCCATCGGGTATATAAAGCGGCTGTGATCAACGCTGCACATCATCAGTCTCGCTTTGGTCGATCTAAACCAACCAAATCTACGAACAATGGCGTTCAAGGTAGGTAGAGGATCACGAACGCGAAGGGTCTCTTCGAGTTTGTCAGTTCTATATATCTGAAGTCTATTGGACTCGGATCATACATTCGCGTCAAGTGTTTCAAAGAAGTTTATCATATATTGAAATTGGCTATTGAAAAGTAAAACTCGATCGAAATTGAGTCTCGCGCAAATTTATATTTCAAAGTATAATAATAAATCGAAATTGATATATATTTAATATAATTAAAAAAATTCAATCGATTAGATTTCTTTCGCTATTTCGTAAAAGCTATATTTATGTATATTATTATTTCAAGAATACAGATCGCAAGTTTGTCATTTAATAATTTAAAATAATTTTTAAGCAACTTAATTACATGGAACTCGTGAATTACGTAAAACTGAAGATAATCTGATCTCACAATCTTTTACAGTTTGTCGCTTTTGCCGCCCTTGTGGCCGCCGCCAATGCCGGTATCCTCGCTCCTGCTGCTCCAGTCGCTTACGCGACAGCCCCCGTCGCCAAGGCTGTAGTGGCTAAGACCATCGAGGCTGATTACGATCCGCATCCCCAGTACAGCTACGCGTATGATGTGCACGACACTCTGACCGGCGACGCCAAGAGCCAGCACGAGACCCGCGATGGCGACCTCGTCCAGGGTAGCTACTCCCTTCTGGAGGCTGACGGCACCAGGCGCACCGTCGACTACACCGCTGACCCGGTCAACGGTTTCAACGCCGTAGTTCGCAAGGAGCCTGCCACAGTCGCTGTCAAAGCTGTAGCCCCAGTCGCCGCTGCCCCCATCGCGCACGCTGCACCATTGGCATACGCCAAATACGCAACCCCAGTGGCACACGCTGCTCCCGTGGCCGCTCCCCTCGCCTATGCCGCTCCTGTTGCTAAATATGCCGCCCCGATCGCCGCTGCTCCCCTCACTTACTCCGCTCCGGTAGCCAAATTGGCAGCCCCGATCTCCTACGCTGCCCCCGTGGCTAAGATCGCTGCCCCCGCTGTCGCTCACGTCGCGCACTCTGCCCCCCTCGCCTATGCCGCACCCGCCGCACCCCTCGCCTACGCCGCGCACGCCGCACCCTTCACTTATGCCGCACACGCCGCACCCCTCTCTTATGCCGCGCACGCCGCACCCTTCACTTATGCCGCGCACGCCGCACCCGTTGCCTACGCCGGGCACGCCGCACCCTTCACCTACGCCGCGTCAGCTGCACCCTTCGCTTACGCCGCGCAGGCAGCTCCGATCGCTAAGATCGCCGCAGCACCCGCTACTTTCTCTTATGCCGCCCCCGCCTCTTACATCCACTGATCGCGTTGATCGCGCCAGCTCACGTTGTCGACTTAGGCCGAACTTATTTATTTTTATACATTGTATGTCTTTTTCTGTGTGACTGATTAAAAGGAATTATACATATGTATTTGAGATTGTACTCACTTACGCGAGATCTCATCAACCCGCTGTCCTATTACTATAATATGCTAATATGTGTCTATAATGCACATATAATACTATATGTGTGGTATAACACATGTGCGGAATATTTGACATTTTTGCGAAAAATGCGACGCATACTCATGGATACATATGTATATTGGATTATGCAATACTGGGCATTTTTGTGAATTTAACGGAATATGGACAGAAACATAATCTATGAATCCATTCTTAACGTGAACAAGAAACGACGTCAAATTATACTTTAAACGACAAATACTTTACATTATTATAATCAACAATCAAAGTAAAAAAAAAGAGAAATCGAAACAAAGAAAGAGAACAATAGCAAAACAAAAATATTATATTGTTTGCATTTAAAAAAACTGACTTTCAATGTATAAGAATTAACATTACAAGGTTTAAATATTTTGACAAATTTGTGCGAGATTTAATCAAAATATTATAATGAATGTGTAAAGATAAATGACGTTGTTTAATTGAAAATAAAGTAATTAAATTTTTTAAAGATACACGTTTATATAAATTAATGAAAAAGATTGAGCACTTTGCTCTGATATTCATTTGATTTCATTTCCGCGATAGGCTTAATTGATATTAGTTTATTAAATTCAATTTATCGCATGTGCCTGATTATTAATTTCTCCAATAATACTGATTTTTTAAGGATCATATCATTTATCTCGACACATTATAAATCACCATATATACATACAGTGATTAAATATAATATTCTAGAAATTATAAAGTTAAAAAATTTGATTTTTGTGTTGTTTACGTGAAATTCTGTATTTAATTCATTTGCCGAGAAAATGATATCATATTGATCAAAGAAAAATTCAACTCTTGAACAGCTTAATTTAAATATTCTCTCTCTAGCATAAATGTATTCCAGATTTTTAAGAAAAGAAAGACGAACACATAAAAGGAAAGATTATAGCAATCGAAAACTAGATATCGAGCGATTACCACACATGATGTGCTAATCATGTGCGTCATATATGCGACATTCTAGCTCGCGATTGCAACTATTGTATTCTGTGTTGTCATACTAATATAAATTCACGACGCGCGATGTCGAAACTGCTCGCTGTTTGTGCCGAATCTATTTCATTGTTTTTACGCGTGTGTCACACATTCGCACAGTTTCAAGTCACTATCTGAAAACCGAGATAATACGCGGCATTTTTGGCGTTTAAACGCAATTTACGTCTTGTAGAATGTGGAATTTTTTTAATCGAGAGAGTAAAAAACCATGTTCAGTCAAACATATAATGATTCACGAAGAATATTCCATCTATTACGTATTCCAATCTTTAATTATATAACGTTATTTAAATCTTAATACAAGATTATATCTTTGTAAATTATTTTTCAAGTATTCTTAAGTATTTTATTTGTCAGATTTTCGTAAAACGATTTTTATGATACCTAGTGTTGTATAATATGTGCTGCTATAAATTTCTCGATCCCGAACCGGGTTCCGCACACATGCCCTTCATGTATGGGGTAAACTTTCGTGCGTAATACTGCAGCGTTTCGCGTAATGTTATTTCTGGCGCTCGCCAGAATTGACCCACTTTCTCCGCTTTTCGCTCGTCCTTTCTCGAACACCTCCCCGCGGCCGCGCAAGGATCGCGACGAAGCTCCACTTTTGTTCGCTGGTCTCGATTGACCGATTGCACCATTGCATCACTTAAGAATCGCAGGCACGACAATGAGAGAACTTCGATTTTGCGGACGCGATGTCGCGTTTTCGTAGACCGATAATGACTTGCGCACAGTTCGTGGCTTGAATCGAGATAATTCGACTCATTCTGATTAAGGATTCGGACCGAATCGGAATCAAAACTGATAACCGTTCTATAACCGTTTTTTTAATCGGACCGAAACAATAAATCATATTTAAATTCTGTTAAATTTATAATACCGGAACCATAACCGGACTGTTAAATTATTTTTGGTTTACGGTTCTTTTCGGTACCTTTTCAGTTCTTCCGTAATTTATTTCTATAAAATATTTTATATTCATAAAGTATTTTATTTGATTGCATTGTAATATATTTTAGAACTTTCTCTTTCGTTTTCAGTTAATTTTTGTAATATAAATATTTTAGGGAGTCAGGAATGAAAGAAAAAATGTCATCGGAAGATAATAAACCTGATAAAAACAGAATTTTCATAAAGTCAAAGATAGATGAAATAATGAATAAAAAATAATAAATGCATAAAAATAATTACTTTTAGAATTAAGTCTTTGTTTTCCAAGAAAATGTTAGAAAAGGTTAAAAAAGCAATAATTTTAAAAGAACCGGAACCATAACCGAAAAAACGTAATTTAAATGGTTTTGGTTTTGTTTATTTATCGAGGAATTTAGAAGTTACCGTGACCGCGTAACACCAAAGCATAATTTTGTTTCGGTCCAAATCCTCGATTTTGGTATAATTGAAGCAAATATATTCTGCACACTCGCTCCGTTAATTCGCATAATTAGTATTATAATGATTAATATTCAATTCCCTATTTTGAATATTTTATCGTAAACGTCCAGAAACGTAGCTTTATTCGATCCAATTAAAAATTAAAATTACAATATATTCTCTTCATTTTATATATATAGTTATATTTCAAAAAATATTTATTTTGTTTTATTAATCTGGTGTTTAGTTTTATTTATTCTCTTTCGTTATTGATGTATTCTCTTTCGTCTTAATTAAATTAAGACAAAAATCAACTATTATACATACATATTGATCCTTAAAATTATATGCTAATTGAAGTCCTATTAAGATAAAGTTCTGACGTTATACGGATTAGATGATCTAATATCTATTATGCGTTGTGCCGAATCGTGATTCCCGTATCGCGCCGGAACAGCATCTCGCAAGACTCGCGCACACAGCACGTGAGAAAAAAAACGTAGTATAGAGAAAGAAGAATTGCACGTGTGCGTGAGCCACCGAATTCGAGCTCGCTCGTTTGCACGCGGCCTATTTGCCATGGGAGAAAGGCGTCCAAATTCCAGACCTCGATTTAAATTGCGTTGTTGCATAACAGGGCGGACCGCTTTTCGGGAAGCACGTGCACGTAACATGCGATATACTCGACCGGCGATTCCATAGAAATGATCGATACGGCGAAACAATATCATCCAAGACAATAACGGCCTTGATGCCAAGGTTATCGTTTCACGCTTTCCATTACATTATTACTATACCATTGTTCTGTTACTAGCATTTATTAATAATATCGGAACCGTTTTATCTATCAGACACTGTAGGCACAGGATCTATTAATTTTTCCAGGTGTAATTTGAAGAATAGAACTCTTGCTTCTCTCTTTATCTATATATGCTTCTCTTATCTCTAGTCTCTCATTATAATAAATTATAATAAATGTTCAGATCTAAAAATGATAAAATATATCTAAATAAAATATATCACGAGAAAAGAGAGAGAGAGAGGAAGATATAACAGCTCTAATTCGGAGAAAAGATTTATTAATTATTTTCTTTGCTGATGAAATCAGAGGTACGAAATCAATTAAATTGTAATTAAAGGTAAATGTCATTCTCGACTGCGAAACCGGCAATTAGAAATGCAAATTCGAGGGCGTGACCGTGTTATATATATCGCGTAAACTTTCCTTCATGGCGATATATTACGTGTTCCCAATTAATATTTATTGGACTGATCTTGCTCTCACCTCATATCTCATATGATCTTCACGAGTCCTCGTTAGCGCAGTAGTTTCTTATCCCGTATACGAGGATAAGCCCCTTATAAGTCGGCTCGAACTCAGTTCACGCGTGCGAAAAGAGTACAACGTATGTAATACGCGTGGAAAATAAAGCAATTTTTAAAAGAAATCATTTGCGATAATGATAAAACGTTGTATGCAAATCAAACGATATGATACATTACGTTATGTGATTTCTCATTGATAAAATATATATTTTTATATATTTTTATAAACGATCACATTGATAAAATTATAACTAGTTATTTGAAACTCATGAAACATTATCCCATTTTCATAATAATAATTTATCAACGATCATATATTTCCCTTCGCTTTTTTTATAAATACATGACATACTTTCTTTAATTCTCTCTCCTCTCTTATTTTTCATCATTTTTACCCGACAGCGAACATTAACGATCGGCAGACTACCTTGACGGGCATTTGGTTCATTTATAATTGTTTCATTTATACATTTTGAAGTTCGCGCGCTGTGCATCGATGAAAAATGATAAAACCAAAGAAAGATTTTTAACGTTGAATGTATTACTTATATACGCAAATCGGCATTTCGACACTGATTTATGAGAAGTAAGAAGATCGACTGACAGTAATAATTTTACGATGCATTTGAAGAACATTCGTTATGCATTAAAAGCGTGCAATATTCACTCGATCCCTTTTTACTTCTGTCGGTAGCCTTGATTTGTACAAGTGTGGATAAATGATAAAAAAATGCGTAACCTTAATCGGCGAGTACATATCCCGTTGAGGGACATTCATATACAGGACACTCATTTGTCGAAAACATCCGTTTAAAGCAGACAGGACATTGTATCCGCTTCGATTCGACTTTGTGACTCATCAGATAAATTATTTCATACATAAATTTTTAATTAACTGTAATGAGTGTTATAATATATACAATAAATCGCATATTTCAAGATAGAGACATTATAAGAAAATAATAACTTTTCTGTATTTAATTATTAAAAATATATTATACGTGGTCGTTTATATAGCGAATTTTCTTAAGAATTAACGCAAAGATAGACTGAAAAAAACACTGATTGAATGCGATATGCTCTGCTCACTTAATTCATCAAATTGAATGTACTCAGGTCACGATGTAGTTGCAGTTAGCGCAAATGCTACGTGCATGTTTTACAAATTGAATGACAGCCGCTAATAACGACGCAGTTTCACGATTTTGCACAATCATACATACACACAATTACGCATAGTCTTAGAATAAATTTAGACAATCTAGAGAAAAAGACAAGATTTGCTACATGACTTTTCCTATTTTCTTCTTCCACAAAAATCTGAGGTTTTGCACCTGAATAATTATTAGAAAAACACAAAAACAAAAATATAAAGTAAAATAATATAATTAAATAAAATCCGAGACAAATATTTTACTCGCCAGTTTTCCGCACACGGTTGAAAAATTTGTATTAATTAAATATAACAGATATCACATGTCCCAAACGGTCCACACAAATTTTTGTGTTAATTTAATATGGATATGTCAAATATGGATATGTTAAACGATGACACTAATATTATGTTAATATTTTGACATAAAATAAATGCAAACCTCAAAGTAATTTGAAATAAATTTTGTATAAAATCAACATATTTTTAATAATAAAATTAACTTGGGAAAATGTTATTGACGGTCTATAATCACTGTCATTCGTATCGTAGAATAAAATTAACAATTTTTTCTGTAAATTTTTTTTAACAGATATATCCTTTCATTAATAATACGGAACATATCTATTATGTAAAATTAAAAATAGGTGCATATTGTTATTTTTACACTTTTTTTTCAATTGTTTTAATAATTTAATACTTGAATTCAATTAATACAACAGCAATATGTCAAATTAACATATAAATATGTTAAATATTTAACACAACAATTTTAACCGGCATATTTTTTAACAAGAAAATATAAATTTTCCAATTGTGCAAAAATGCTCGGGCGGAAAGCGGTCAAATATATTATAATCGAATCGACAAAAAAAACCATGCGTCCAACCCGCGGCGATTTTGGTTACTCGGATTCCGGACCGGTCTCTATCTCTCTCTGTCAAAAGCAAACCGGTCTTTTGGGCGCACGTAATACGGGCGCGATTACGAGGTGCCGCATAGTGACATTGGGCGCGGATCTTTGACGGCCGCGGCTGCAGTTTTCTGTTCGGTGAAAGTCGATTCGCGCGCGCAAATACTACTCTCATTCTCGTCTCCTTTCTTTGTTCCGCCGACGGCGATTTTTTCGTTAGCTGTATTCCTCTTCAACATGTCGCGAGAAAGAGAACAACACGACGCGCGCTTTTCTCGCAGGTATAATCCGAATTATGTATGTACGTGTCGCTCTTTTTTTTACAAGAGAGAGTTTGCCTTCGCACGCGAATAATAGCTTACATAATTTGTCGCGATAAACGAAACATTTGAGTTTCGATTAATTTGCATCAGCTAAATCTTGTTTTAAATTAAATTATTAATCGTTATGTTTTTTGATACATGTATATGTGTGAATATAAATTTTGAAAAAGATTAAAGTAAAAAATGTAAAGGAGTGCAAAATAAAATATTATAATATTTAAAAGGGAATCTTTTTATATAAAAAATATTTTGATGCTATTTAGAATCGATAACTAATTGTCCTCTTCTCTCATGAACGACTAATTATATATTATACTAATTATATATTAGAATTTCTAACTATAACGAGCATGTGCGATAAAGAACAATGAATTCTGTTTTGTAATTTTTCTATCAATAAATAAAGATCAAATTAATTAGTTGTAGATAAAATTATATAGATAGACGCAATATACATATAATTTTAAATAATCATATAAAGTACATTTTTTTATTTTATTATATTAAAGCTTTATTAGAAAAACTATTACAGTAGAACATGCCATTCACTGATCAGACGCCCGAACGCACAATGATCGCAACTACTCGCGCGTCTGACTCGCGTTGAGCTGTACTACTTCCTCTGTGAAGAAAAATTGATTATTCGAAAAATATACATTTTTTATATTACTTAAAGAATTCTTCCCATCAATATGCAAGTTTTTCAACATATAACATACAGTACAATCTATTTCTTTTACGATACCAAAGGAATTTGTACTTTAGTTTAAAATATGTAAGAGTATCGCGCGAAATAACTTCACTTTCGATTTAACTCTCACTTGAAACGTTTTCGTTTGATGATTAATACAATTTTGATATATCATGATTGCGCATAAGAATATTCCAAAGCAAGCTGGTATGCGATGGCATACAATAGTGCATTATAAAAAAAGTCAGAGATTTCATACGTTACAAGGTACTCTCATCAAGAGATACAGTAAAGGTATCCAATAAAGACGTCAATAAGCATCATCATTTATGACGACTATTAATGGTTAACGATTATAACAATCAGTTTTTTTTTTTTTCATATACCGCTAGAAGTTAAATGCGTCGCGCGTAGCCGAAGGTCGTGTTACGTGTACGTACATACACGCGTGTCTACGTATGTTTCTTGCGTAAATACGACGGCAGAAATCCGGGACCCGGCGCGCGTAACAACGGACCCGGGGCCCGTTGCTTATGTAACTCTGCAATGGATCGAACCTTGTGCGAACGCCGACGTGACAGCCGAACGACCGGCTCGCGATTGATCCGCGACATCGATGACATTGATCGACGCATATTCAGAACTTGTCGACTTTTACTCATTGCGCGCACCCACGCGATTAATGCGATTGTAATGACGTAATCGAGCAGAGTCGACACATTGCGGCCAGTATATATATATGGTTTTATTATTATTATTATTATTATTATTTCGCGCACTCTCTAAAATAAAAATAGGCATCATGAATCTCTATTGTACCGAAGAAATAATAAAAAAGAAATCGAGTTTATAAGTAACTCATGATAAACAATTTTTATTGCAGTTTCATCGTCTATAACTGGGTAAAAACAACATGCAGACTGGTTGCAACTCGAGATGCACAAGAGTAAAATTTATGCTAATGCGGTAGCGGGGTTGTAAGCGAGACCAGTGAGGGGTGCAGCGTAGGCGAACGGCGAGTAGTACGCGGCGCTATAGGGGTAAGTCGGATAAGTGGCTATCGCCCTGGCCGGGAGACCGATTAATCGGGCGTTCGCTGCTAGTTGTTGCTCCTGACCGGCAATGGTGGCCCTTGCAGGTGCGGCGGCTTGTTGTCGACGATCCTGCTGCTGCTCCTGCTGCTGGATCTGCAATCTCGATGATCGCCTTTGTTGCTCCTGCAGCTGCCGCTCCTGCAGCTGCCGCTCCTGCTGTTGACGTTGTTGCTCCTGCAGCCGCTGGAACTGCTGACGTTGAATCTCCTGCTCGCGCGTCGTCGCTCTCGCCGATGTCGAGAAACCCGACGTTCGAGCCTCAACCACCTCGACGTCGGAGTCGGGTCCACTGGCGGGTATCGACGGTGCCGGGGCGACCGGCGTCAGCGCGGCCGGTCCAAACGAGGCCGGGGCTATCGGCGCCAGGGCGGCTGGTCTAAGAGGCGTCGCGACGGCGGCGATTACCGGTTCTCTGCTAACGATCGCGTTGAAACCGTTGATCGGATCCGCGGTATACTCGACGATGCGACGCGTACCATCGGCCTCGATCAGGCTGTAACTGCCCCGCACGATGTCGCCGTTTCGGGTCTCATATTGGGCCTTGGAGTCGCCGGTCACCGCGTCTTGCACGTCGTACGCAAAGCTGTACTGCGGCACCGCGTCGAATTCCTCCAACTTCGCCAAGGGTGCCGCCGCTGGTAGCACGGCGGGAACCACCGCCCCGTGAGCGAACGCCGTCAGTCCCAGGAACAAGAAGATCTGTAAATTTGTCGACGGTTATTGATGACATTTTGATCGCTTTGTCAAATTTATGGAGCTCTCCATTAACTTTTAAGAACCGGGGGTTGTAACGTTAATGAAGATGTAATGAACTAAATATTTTTTTTTTACATACATACGATATTGTAATATTTCGATGCAATAATTGAACGTATTTGGATAGAATCGATATAAGATAAGAATTTTAGAGATAAAATTCTAACGCTCTTCTAATCTATCTCCAACTTCCCTTACCATGCCGGCCATGTTTGTTTGCGGGAGGATCGTCAGAAGACTGATACTCCGGGATAAGATCGTTCGTACTTTTATACGCTGTCATCGACGTTCGTGTCATCCGCGACGACAACGATGATCCTCGTAGCCGAACTTGCGCCAATGCCACCCGCACCCCCACCTAATCACTGTCTGTCTCCGTTTCTCTCCTTTTCCTCTCCTTCTTTTTCTTTATGTCTTCTTCTCGGGGGCCGTGCAGTGACCTCCATGACAATCATTGCGATGTACAAGGAGTCCGCAATGTTGTACCAATGTTTAACCCACCATTGTATGTACGAAACTTTATGTTTCTTCATATCGTCGTCGCCCGTGCATACACGCGACTTGGATGTCAATATGCCGAAGACGCGAGGTCGTTCGACGAAATTGCGTGTCCGAGCACATTGAATGCTTTCGTCCTCTTTCATCCTAATCGATGACAAGATGCACTAGATGAAATTCGCAGAGACATCCGTAAGAAAAATAATAGAAAGATAGAGAACAAGAATGCGATAACATTATTACTCGAAATAAAGGTAAAATATGTCACATTTTTCTTTCATGATGTATATAAAGGTATTAAAAATAATATTAAATTTCTATATATAATATATATTGAAAAATATTAATATTTACATTAAAATATTAATTGATCTAAAATCATCAGCCTCTAGGCATGTAAAGAAGAAGCATTGCTTAACGCCAATGAACTCAATGCAAGCGGACGATTGATAACCGAAATACGCGTGTAATCGTACGCTACGCACGCATGCACGCGTGTCGTGTGCCAATACATGTCGAATACAGGCGGTCAATCAAGGTCGTTTGACGAAAGCGCATCCTGCACAATCGATCGAATTCTATTACGCATTCATAGCGGGAACGACGATGAATCTGCTAACATCGATCGACGCATAGTATTGCGTTAATTATCAGACACGTAATCGTTAACCGTTATTACTCTGTTATTTTCCAGCGATACATGTATACGTATCCGGTATATATGTTAAAATTTTATGAATATATTTCAATTTAACATTTATGGATGTAAATGAATATTTTCAATCAAGTTCCAAATTATTTAAAAAAAATTCAGAAAGAAATATCATCAAAATCTTATATTTGGTTTAGTGTGTTCGCTACATTGAAACATTCGATTCCGAAATCAATATATGCATTCTATTCAATTAACCAATGTAAAATAATTAATATTAGAGAAAAAGTTATATGTAAAATATAGAAATTATTTGTATTTTTTTCACATAAGTCTATCTTTTTATATTTTAATATCGTCTGTCGAAACAAATTTAACAATGGATGATACAAAACCATTCAAGCTTAGAAAAGCATAAATGTGTTATCAATTCTCAATAAGAAAGTAATAAGGGTTTCTAAAAGATATAACATTCTCAAAAAACGTATCACACGGATATCAATCGCATTGAAACTTTCGTCTATGATATTTTTTTGCATCTATATTTTACGATTTTGGAAATACACATAATTCGCACTACATTAAATATAATGAGTTAGCTTGGAAGAATTGTTTAAATGCTTAAATTTTGAAACATGCGTAAAAAATGTGTTTCTTGAATTTTTATGGAGTATATAAGAAACAAAATATTACAATATATCAATATAAGCTTTTATTAAATTTTTTCAAATTTTATATTTAATGTAATTGCTAAACCTTTCGCAGTATTTACGCAAATTAATTTGTAACTCGAAATCTAATTCAGACATAAAATTAATGTTAATATAAAATTACATAATTTAATGACATCGTGTAATTCGAGTAATAATTTATGAATTCATGACAGATTCACACGCTAAACGAAAAGAAGTCTATTATAAAAAACAAAAATAGTCTTTATGTGCAAATAGTGTGAGAAAATAAACATGTAAGATGGAGCACGCAGTTATTCAGAGAACAAAGCTAATTCGCACTCGCATACAGTTTGTAAAATATTTTTATTATAAAACAGCTAACAATTTTTAGCGATACGTAATATGACTAGTGTTCGTTCGATATTATAATATTATAGAGGTATCCACATCAAGGGTGATAAACGAATGGCTGCGCTGGAACATTGACGACTGGTTTCCCCACCGCTAGAGGTTCTCGACGAACCACGGCGTTGAATCCGTTCACCGGGTCGGCGGTATACTCGACGATCCGTCTTGTACCATCAGCTTCTACGAGGGAGTAGCTGCCGCTGACAATGTCACCGTTCCTGCTTTCATACTGGCTCTTTGCGTCACCAGTCAGCGTATCTTGGACGTCATAGGCATAAGAGTACTGAGGATAAGGATCGAAACTTGCGTTGTCGATCTTAAGCTTGGCGATTGGAAGAGCTGCAGCTGGGACAGCTGGAACGGCTGACAGAGCTGGTGATGGGACAGCTGCGCTTCTGCATACCGCTAGCATCGCTGCACTTAGGACGATTACTGACTATAATACAATGTATTAATGTATTAATATAATTATCACCAAAAATAATTTAATGCAAATTTATATTATTTTTTGTGTATTAAATATTTGTTTTCTTTTTCTCTTAAATATTATACTTGTATATTTTATATCTTATCGTTAACATGCATCGAAGTAAAATCAAAAAATTGTATAATTTTGCATTTTATAGTACAGTTAACGTGTTTCTCAAAAATTGCTTTAAAAGTACTCTAAACTCGAATTGATCAAATAAAAATTGATATTATTATGCATAATTTTTAGCGTACCTTGCAAGTCATTTTTTCGCTCGTGATTCTATAGAACAATAAATGTGTCGCGAACAAGACTGACGTTTAGTCGAGCAATGACAAACGTATTTATAGGAGCATCGGAGTGATCGTCGGCATCCCTCGTTGCATCGCAAACAGCCTACGAAGTAGTTTAGTACGTGATGTGGTGACAAAAATATCGCTCTCGATTTTACGACTCTCCGTTATGCGCATTGACGACGAAGAAAGTTGCGAATGCCGAAATATATTGATCGGTTTATTTCTCGCGTGATCGTTTAATCGCGATTATCGCGTTTACGGGATCGCGAAATTATCGCTTATCAGACGTTATTATGGAATCTGGTAGCATAAAAACGCTCTATTAGCAGATAAATATATCCTACTCGCCAGTCTTTGTCCCGCGAAATTGCCTTTCGAAACTTATAATGGTATAGGAACGGCATACCTTAAAATATACCCTTGTACGTAAAAAACCAGTTTTATATTGCAAATTTTAATGCGGTATGATTACAAGTTGATCCGACGAGATTAACTTCAGCGAGGCTTTCGAAAATTAATTTCAAAAGTAAAAAAGCGACACGTATGATTTAGTAGCATTGAACTTTTTTTCAAGATTGCGAAAATATACGTAATGTATAAGGCGTAAAGAGACAAATATAATTCTCCTATGAAGTGCCGGTGCTTTCACCCTTGCGTAATTCCAGCGGTTTTGGTACCGGCCATAAATATAACGCTTCCGTCGCAGGAATGTGACGAACTGAGAATATCAAATGTATGAGGATGATTCATTCTTTTTCTTTTTTTTTTTGAACAGTCGCGTATTTCGCTTTCAGGTGTCAAAGTACGTGATATAATTATCATGATCATTTTTATTTGCCATTGATAAAACTAGAAATCTTTCTTTCGTGCAATTCGAAATTATTCTGTGATACGCGAGCTTGATAAAATTTATATTAAAGTTCGAGTTGTAAAATCCATTCTCTTTCTTTTTTGTTAATTTATCGCTCCCTGTACATCATATAAACAAAGATTTAAAAAAAAAAAAAAGAGATAGATAATTACAAAACTCATTTATTCAAGATCTCGTAAATTCTGGAATTTTTCATCCTCTTCCGAATTCTTTCTTTGCGTCACAAAAATATTATGTGTCGATTGTTCCCGACGAGAGACGATAAATTACGGATTCGTTAAGAGCGTGAATCATCTCTGTATCGTCTCTTCTTCCTTCATAAACAGAGATGAGTCATTCGGTATGTATAATTAACGGGGGACGAGCGCCGATCGTGACCGTGAAACAAGTCCGCAAACTCGCTTGCTTACGCAACGCTATATCATTACATAGTGCTTCTTCTCTCATCCTTCCTGCCGCATCTCGCGGAAAAAGATATTATACACGCAGATTTATATAATTATCGACAACATGTTGTACAAAACATAATAGCCGGATAGTTACGTGAAACATTTAATGCAGTGTCATTTCTGTAGATCGTTTATTTAATGTAAAGCAATTGATGTATTGTTTATTGATGTAAACGGGATGCATTCGTGCATTATTCGCATAGAAATATCACATACATAGATTTGCGCAGCACAAACAACAATCGATCCAATAATAAATTTTGCATTTACAAAGATGACGAGATTTTCGACATAATGCAAACGTACATATGATGTGTATAAGTCGATCGATATTACAAATACTTTTTATAAGTAAACTTATCGTTATTTAATGTATACTCTATTTATTTATATATATATATTGCAAGAAAATAAAATTACCTTAACACAAAATCTTTATCAATTTTTTTATCTCGAGATACTGTTGATTTAATATTTAACTCGAAATTTATACAGTGTATGTACAATTGTCTAATTGGTCGATTGAGAAAAATCGCAAAGTACAATGATGCAAATATATATTGTAATACATATAACATGATGTATGTAAAATTTATTATTAGCATTTATTATCTGCTATGAAATCTAATAATACTATAATTTGTCATAAAAGAGATGATTTAATTTCCTCCATAAAAATTGTATAAATGTAGAATGTTTGTTACACCTCAATTTCATGAAATCAATACACTATTAGCTATTTGTTCATGTATATTATCTGTCCAGATGTGTGCGCACATTATCACATGCATAATGTGATGCAAACTCTTTGCACAAAATCACAACATTGTCATTTAATGTTATTAAAATATTAAGTAATTAAAAAATATGATAAAATTATCAGTAAGGTTAATATCTCTATTAATCACAATTCATAATTCAAATTACTATGATTCAACATCTTAAATATAATTCTTTAGAAGAATATTTTATAAACATTAATAACATTTGCCATCATACATACACTTTTCTCATACATTCCTCATTCATAAAATTCTGCTAACATACTGCTCCTTAAAATTTAATTTCTAGTAACAAATAAAAAGGGATTATATTCTCTCTAGTCATCTATGGCCATGTAATCTTTTGACGTTTTTTCATTAATGATTCCTGAAAGATTTCAGTACGTCCATTGTTACTGACATATCTAGTATCTAAAGTATTATTGAAATCTTATATTAAATAAATTATAATCTCTCGATATAAGAAAGTAAAATTAAAATTGAAATTAAAATCATTTAGAATCTTATCTGAATCATAGAGAATCATGATGATATGTACCTCGTTTTGCTCGTCGCATCTACGTTTGCTAATTCCATTGCAGGTAGTTTCTATTTTTGGTGTAGAACATACTCGGATTTTCTTATGCACTGATTTTGGATCATTAATAGGAAACTTTAATCTGTCCATCTGAGACAATTGGTATGTCCTTTTATTTCCTTTGTTTAAGTCTGCAGTTAAGCTATGCATATCGTTACTACTGAAAAAAATACAAATTGGAATTAACATAAGCAAATGTATACTTTGTTAGCAGATATTTTTACTTAAGAAGAACCCACCTTATAGCTATAACAGATTTGTCTGGTACCACATTTATCTCTGTATCCAAATTCTTAGCCCTTCCACATTGTCGTTGTGGTAAAGGCATGGCAACTCGTTTATACATCTCTAACAATTCGCTTTTACATAGTTTCTCAAAATTAAGAATCTCAATGCAACTCTGTGAAGAAAGAATATGCGTGTGCAATTAAGACACCTAAAATTCAAATATACCAGTGATACAAATGTTCCTTCATATAAATACAGTTACCGCAACGTAAATTAAGATGAAAAATTAATTGGTAATGCGCCTAATGCAAACTCGACCGCGTTTCTTTCATTTTTAAAAAATTATTTATTTTATTTCTCTAAAAATTAATATATAAAGTGTGTTTATAATCGTCATCCTGGTTTAACCTATATTTATTATTTACCAAAACATCGATTGAATAAATTGTGAAATATATCTTTTCTTACTTAAATAAAAGCGGATCAATGGATATCAAATGAGGAACAGATAAGTATTACGGAGACGCCCGAGAAGAAGAGTTTGTAAACACGCTTAACCTACGCGACGTGACTTACATTCTTTAAAATCTCGCGGAGTTGACGCTCTGATAACGACTCCGGATGCGTGAGCTCGTACGTGCCCAATTTCGACATGCTCGTGAACGTTTCTTCGCCGCGCCAGAAGAAAAGTTCGCGAACATCTCACACAAAACATGCGATTTAATAACCGCTTGTATCGGCCGTTATCGGGCCGCCCTTATCGCCTTATCGCCGATCGCCGCCACTATCCACTATCGAATGTATGCATGTGACGCATACATCGTATGCGTCAGAGCGTCCCAAGAAGTTTGATGCGACGTTTGACAGGCATTGTGTTACGATCTTTCAACTAGCGATTTTCGCAAGTTGAACATTCAGAAAGATTGCAATAATAATATATTATCTTTAATTATTATTAATTATTAATATTAATTAATAATTATTTATTATTTATATTATTTTTATATGATCTGTCATTTTCAATATATATGTATTACATAATCAAGGAGTACACTCATTATGCTTTTATCCTTATTAAATTCTGTAATGCGCCAAAAAAAAAATTAAATTAGTAATAAAAATTCGCATGTAAAGACCTGTGGCGAGTAAACTTGTTAATATCCAAATTATTTTACACAACGATTAATGATTCTTTAAATAAAATTGATCCCGGAACCTACCGACTGTCAATCGACTACTTTTATGGGTTTCTTTATATACGTCGCAATTAAAATTTCGATTCAAATATCGCGCGCTTAATCTAGCCATGTAGTTAGCTGGCTCTAAAATGGATCTAGGTGGCGCCACTGTACCAGCTAGAAAAGCGCTTATGAAAAACTTGATCCCTCTCAGGCTTCTTTTTGCCTCTGCCCATAATATAGGCTTGTGTGAATACACACGTGCTGCGTGTAGAGAATAAGCGTTTATTTAAAAATGGCGCTCTTAAATCGTGCCAATTTAAATTCTCTTTTATTATTAAATCACTGTTATTACAAATTCGCGACGGGTACGGTGAGATTAAAAACGCGCGGACGCATTTCACTATCGTCAAGTCTCATGCAAGAAAAGATTAAACAAAGTAAATATGACACAATTTTAACGTATAACCTATAAAGTCACAAATAATTCAGATTGTGCGTATATGTAATCTTTTTTTGTAGAAATGTACGTTAATTTTATCATAATTATTTCTCGAATACAATGTGATTTAATTTTCCGATATCTAATGTTTTTTTTTCTTTTTTTTTTCATATAACTACATCTATACACATAATGACATAATCTATGTTGCTGTCCGGTGATTTTGCAGGCTCAGAAAAGAAAACAGAATCAAATGTTAAAAGCACGATGTTTGAAACTACAATTGCCAACAGAAGAGATCAGGCACGTCGAAGTATATTGGTACAGGTATACTCGTTGAATTCACAAGACGATCTCCAGAGTTATTGTGCTCAATTTGGAGACATTTTAAGTATGCACCATTACCAAAAAGACAAGCAAAATAATTATATTTTGGTTGAATTTAAAGATCTAGTATCGATAAATGAAATTATTTCATCTGCTTCCTTTATGGGTGAAGATTTAATCGCCCCTGTAAAGTCATCAGTATTTTGGTTCCGCAAAGGACAATTTGTAGCTTTACATCATAAAAAAAATAATCAGGAAAAGATAATCTTATCTACAGAAAATGGTTGCACATGCCCTACTGAAAAGGAGATTTCAAACTTCTTACAGAATGCAAAATCGGTAATGTCATTAATATTATATTTATATTACAATTGTATGTTGGCATTATTTGAAATTGATATTCTTAATTTACAGATATCGGGACAAATAATAGATTTATATGAGGCATTAAAACTGAGCGATTTAGAAACAAGACTGAGATTTCACACTGCCCATCACCTGGAGCAATATTTCTCTAGATTATTTCAAAATACAAAAGTTTTACCATTTGGTTCCTCTTTGAACGGATTTGGGAGGAAAAGATGTGATCTTGATTTAGTTCTCATTTCCGATAAAGAAGTAAATATATTATAATATTTGATTCATCTAAACTCTCATGATTTTAATACTAAACGTTAATGAGATGTAACGTTTACATAGAACAATTCAGCGAGTAGACTGGTATTTCATACAAAACCTATGAAACTTAACGAGAGGCATGAAACAAAAGAATTTATGGGAATACTTGCAAGTACTATGCAACATTTCATCCCTGGCGTTCGTAATGTACGAAGAATCTTAGAAGCTAGAATACCTATAATTAAATTCCATTACGAATACACAAATATTGAATGCGACTTAAGCACAACGAATATGTAAGTTAAATTATATTTAAATATGATTTATGTAGAGATATAAATAGAGCTATATCTATCACAGATATATATAGAGCTAAGGATATTTTTATATATTTCCACAAAAAATTGCATATATATTATCAATACCGGTCTCTCTTTTAGGACTGCCGTATACATGTCCGAATTATTGAACTTATATGGAGAAATAGATTGGCGGGTAAGACCGCTTGTTACAGCAATACGGAAATGGGCAAAGAGTCAGGAGATAACATCTGATGTGCCAGGACAGTGGATAACAAATTTCTCTCTTTCATTATTGGTGCTCTTCTACTTACAACAGAAAGACATATTGCCGTCTTTAAAAGCCTTGAAATCGTATGCTAGTAAGTAAGACAAAATCACAATATCTGTATATATAGATTGACGAACTGTTTCTTTTTTATGTCTGTTTTTCTTTTTATAGCACGTGACGACATTCGTTGTACAGAGAATGGTATTGATTGCACCTTCCTGCGGAATCTTGAAAAATTGCCGCCCGAGTACAAGTATAAATCGAATCAAGACAATTTGGAGTCGCTGCTATATGGTTTCTTTGACTATATTTCGACGTTCAAGTTTCACATAAACGGGATATGTATTCGCGAGGGAGTGCCCATCCGGAAACCGTCGCACTCGCCGCTTCATATCACCAATCCCCTAGAAACGACGTTGAACGTGTGCAAGAACGTAAACATTTACGAGTTAAATCGCTTAAAGATGAAGGCACACGATGCATTATTGATATTAGAGACTACTCACAACTCCAGAAACGGCAACTGGGGCTTTATGGTTTTATTAAACATGAAAAACGTTGAGATAATGGATATGTTGAAGTTAAATAGCAGAAAAGAACAGAGCATCGCGGATTATTCGGAAGATAGTTCCCATGAAATTCCTGAAGTTAACGAAGTTGATATCAATCAATCAAAGAAGAAGAAAAAAACGGTATGATGTTTAGACAAATAGCGATGTTATATATACATTTCATCTCTGCAGAAATACACATGTCACATGTATTCCTGCATGAGACGCTTGCAACAATTTTTTTATATCGATGATTTGGGGTATTATTTAGTGATGATGTCAGAAAAACAGAGACATTTTAAGCAAGAATAAAAAAAGAAGAAAACACATGAAGAAGATATTTTGTTGCAGCCAGTTGTGAATACACTATTAGCTATTTGTTCATGTATATTATCTGTCCAGATGTGTGCGCACATTATCACATGCATAATGTGATGCAAACTCTTTGCACAAAATCACAACATTGTCATTTAATGTTATTAAAATATTAAGTAATTAAAAAATATGATAAAATTATCAGTAAGGTTAATATCTCTATTAATCACAATTCATAATTCAAATTACTATGATTCAACATCTTAAATATAATTCTTTAGAAGAATATTTTATAAACATTAATAACATTTGCCATCATACATACACTTTTCTCATACATTCCTCATTCATAAAATTCTGCTAACATACTGCTCCTTAAAATTTAATTTCTAGTAACAAATAAAAAGGGATTATATTCTCTCTAGTCATCTATGGCCATGTAATCTTTTGACGTTTTTTCATTAATGATTCCTGAAAGATTTCAGTACGTCCATTGTTACTGACATATCTAGTATCTAAAGTATTATTGAAATCTTATATTAAATAAATTATAATCTCTCGATATAAGAAAGTAAAATTAAAATTGAAATTAAAATCATTTAGAATCTTATCTGAATCATAGAGAATCATGATGATATGTACCTCGTTTTGCTCGTCGCATCTACGTTTGCTAATTCCATTGCAGGTAGTTTCTATTTTTGGTGTAGAACATACTCGGATTTTCTTATGCACTGATTTTGGATCATTAATAGGAAACTTTAATCTGTCCATCTGAGACAATTGGTATGTCCTTTTATTTCCTTTGTTTAAGTCTGCAGTTAAGCTATGCATATCGTTACTACTGAAAAAAATACAAATTGGAATTAACATAAGCAAATGTATACTTTGTTAGCAGATATTTTTACTTAAGAAGAACCCACCTTATAGCTATAACAGATTTGTCTGGTACCACATTTATCTCTGTATCCAAATTCTTAGCCCTTCCACATTGTCGTTGTGGTAAAGGCATGGCAACTCGTTTATACATCTCTAACAATTCGCTTTTACATAGTTTCTCAAAATTAAGAATCTCAATGCAACTCTGTGAAGAAAGAATATGCGTGTGCAATTAAGACACCTAAAATTCAAATATACCAGTGATACAAATGTTCCTTCATATAAATACAGTTACCGCAACGTAAATTAAGATGAAAAATTAATTGGTAATGCGCCTAATGCAAACTCGACCGCGTTTCTTTCATTTTTAAAAAATTATTTATTTTATTTCTCTAAAAATTAATATATAAAGTGTGTTTATAATCGTCATCCTGGTTTAACCTATATTTATTATTTACCAAAACATCGATTGAATAAATTGTGAAATATATCTTTTCTTACTTAAATAAAAGCGGATCAATGGATATCAAATGAGGAACAGATAAGTATTACGGAGACGCCCGAGAAGAAGAGTTTGTAAACACGCTTAACCTACGCGACGTGACTTACATTCTTTAAAATCTCGCGGAGTTGACGCTCTGATAACGACTCCGGATGCGTGAGCTCGTACGTGCCCAATTTCGACATGCTCGTGAACGTTTCTTCGCCGCGCCAGAAGAAAAGTTCGCGAACATCTCACACAAAACATGCGATTTAATAACCGCTTGTATCGGCCGTTATCGGGCCGCCCTTATCGCCTTATCGCCGATCGCCGCCACTATCCACTATCGAATGTATGCATGTGACGCATACATCGTATGCGTCAGAGCGTCCCAAGAAGTTTGATGCGACGTTTGACAGGCATTGTGTTACGATCTTTCAACTAGCGATTTTCGCAAGTTGAACATTCAGAAAGATTGCAATAATAATATATTATCTTTAATTATTATTAATTATTAATATTAATTAATAATTATTTATTATTTATATTATTTTTATATGATCTGTCATTTTCAATATATATGTATTACATAATCAAGGAGTACACTCATTATGCTTTTATCCTTATTAAATTCTGTAATGCGCCAAAAAAAAAATTAAATTAGTAATAAAAATTCGCATGTAAAGACCTGTGGCGAGTAAACTTGTTAATATCCAAATTATTTTACACAACGATTAATGATTCTTTAAATAAAATTGATCCCGGAACCTACCGACTGTCAATCGACTACTTTTATGGGTTTCTTTATATACGTCGCAATTAAAATTTCGATTCAAATATCGCGCGCTTAATCTAGCCATGTAGTTAGCTGGCTCTAAAATGGATCTAGGTGGCGCCACTGTACCAGCTAGAAAAGCGCTTATGAAAAACTTGATCCCTCTCAGGCTTCTTTTTGCCTCTGCCCATAATATAGGCTTGTGTGAATACACACGTGCTGCGTGTAGAGGATAAGCGTTTATTTAAAAATGGCGCTCTTAAATCGTGCCAATTTAAATTCTCTTTTATTATTAAATCACTGTTATTACAAATTCGCGACGGGTACGGTGAGATTAAAAACGCGCGGACGCATTTCACTATCGTCAAGTCTCATGCAAGAAAAGATTAAACAAAGTAAATATGACACAATTTTAACGTATAACCTATAAAGTCACAAATAATTCAGATTGTGCGTATATGTAATCTTTTTTTGTAGAAATGTACGTTAATTTTATCATAATTATTTCTCGAATACAATGTGATTTAATTTTCCGATATCTAATGTTTTTTTTTCTTTTTTTTTTCATATAACTACATCTATACACATAATGACATAATCTATGTTGCTGTCCGGTGATTTTGCAGGCTCAGAAAAGAAAACAGAATCAAATGTTAAAAGCACGATGTTTGAAACTACAATTGCCAACAGAAGAGATCAGGCACGTCGAAGTATATTGGTACAGGTATACTCGTTGAATTCACAAGACGATCTCCAGAGTTATTGTGCTCAATTTGGAGACATTTTAAGTATGCACCATTACCAAAAAGACAAGCAAAATAATTATATTTTGGTTGAATTTAAAGATCTAGTATCGATAAATGAAATTATTTCATCTGCTTCCTTTATGGGTGAAGATTTAATCGCCCCTGTAAAGTCATCAGTATTTTGGTTCCGCAAAGGACAATTTGTAGCTTTACATCATAAAAAAAATAATCAGGAAAAGATAATCTTATCTACAGAAAATGGTTGCACATGCCCTACTGAAAAGGAGATTTCAAACTTCTTACAGAATGCAAAATCGGTAATGTCATTAATATTATATTTATATTACAATTGTATGTTGGCATTATTTGAAATTGATATTCTTAATTTACAGATATCGGGACAAATAATAGATTTATATGAGGCATTAAAACTGAGCGATTTAGAAACAAGACTGAGATTTCACACTGCCCATCACCTGGAGCAATATTTCTCTAGATTATTTCAAAATACAAAAGTTTTACCATTTGGTTCCTCTTTGAACGGATTTGGGAGGAAAAGATGTGATCTTGATTTAGTTCTCATTTCCGATAAAGAAGAATCGACTACTTTTATGGGTTTCTTTATATACGTCGCAATTAAAATTTCGATTCAAATATCGCGCGCTTAATCTAGCCATGTAGTTAGCTGGCTCTAAAATGGATCTAGGTGGCGCCACTGTACCAGCTAGAAAAGCGCTTATGAAAAACTTGATCCCTCTCAGGCTTCTTTTTGCCTCTGCCCATAATATAGGCTTGTGTGAATACACACGTGCTGCGTGTAGAGGATAAGCGTTTATTTAAAAATGGCGCTCTTAAATCGTGCCAATTTAAATTCTCTTTTATTATTAAATCACTGTTATTACAAATTCGCGACGGGTACGGTGAGATTAAAAACGCGCGGACGCATTTCACTATCGTCAAGTCTCATGCAAGAAAAGATTAAACAAAGTAAATATGACACAATTTTAACGTATAACCTATAAAGTCACAAATAATTCAGATTGTGCGTATATGTAATCTTTTTTTGTAGAAATGTACGTTAATTTTATCATAATTATTTCTCGAATACAATGTGATTTAATTTTCCGATATCTAATGTTTTTTTTTCTTTTTTTTTTCATATAACTACATCTATACACATAATGACATAATCTATGTTGCTGTCCGGTGATTTTGCAGGCTCAGAAAAGAAAACAGAATCAAATGTTAAAAGCACGATGTTTGAAACTACAATTGCCAACAGAAGAGATCAGGCACGTCGAAGTATATTGGTACAGGTATACTCGTTGAATTCACAAGACGATCTCCAGAGTTATTGTGCTCAATTTGGAGACATTTTAAGTATGCACCATTACCAAAAAGACAAGCAAAATAATTATATTTTGGTTGAATTTAAAGATCTAGTATCGATAAATGAAATTATTTCATCTGCTTCCTTTATGGGTGAAGATTTAATCGCCCCTGTAAAGTCATCAGTATTTTGGTTCCGCAAAGGACAATTTGTAGCTTTACATCATAAAAAAAATAATCAGGAAAAGATAATCTTATCTACAGAAAATGGTTGCACATGCCCTACTGAAAAGGAGATTTCAAACTTCTTACAGAATGCAAAATCGGTAATGTCATTAATATTATATTTATATTACAATTGTATGTTGGCATTATTTGAAATTGATATTCTTAATTTACAGATATCGGGACAAATAATAGATTTATATGAGGCATTAAAACTGAGCGATTTAGAAACAAGACTGAGATTTCACACTGCCCATCACCTGGAGCAATATTTCTCTAGATTATTTCAAAATACAAAAGTTTTACCATTTGGTTCCTCTTTGAACGGATTTGGGAGGAAAAGATGTGATCTTGATTTAGTTCTCATTTCCGATAAAGAAGTATAAATATATTATAATATTTGATTCATCTAAACTCTCATGATTTTAATACTAAACGTTAATGAGATGTAACGTTTACATAGAACAATTCAGCGAGTAGACTGGTATTTCATACAAAACCTATGAAACTTAACGAGAGGCATGAAACAAAAGAATTTATGGGAATACTTGCAAGTACTATGCAACATTTCATCCCTGGCGTTCGTAATGTACGAAGAATCTTAGAAGCTAGAATACCTATAATTAAATTCCATTACGAATACACAAATATTGAATGCGACTTAAGCACAACGAATATGTAAGTTAAATTATATTTAAATATGATTTATGTAGAGATATAAATAGAGCTATATCTATCACAGATATATATAGAGCTAAGGATATTTTTATATATTTCCACAAAAAATTGCATATATATTATCAATACCGGTCTCTCTTTTAGGACTGCCGTATACATGTCCGAATTATTGAACTTATATGGAGAAATAGATTGGCGGGTAAGACCGCTTGTTACAGCAATACGGAAATGGGCAAAGAGTCAGGAGATAACATCTGATGTGCCAGGACAGTGGATAACAAATTTCTCTCTTTCATTATTGGTGCTCTTCTACTTACAACAGAAAGACATATTGCCGTCTTTAAAAGCCTTGAAATCGTATGCTAGTAAGTAAGACAAAATCACAATATCTGTATATATAGATTGACGAACTGTTTCTTTTTTATGTCTGTTTTTCTTTTTATAGCACGTGACGACATTCGTTGTACAGAGAATGGTATTGATTGCACCTTCCTGCGGAATCTTGAAAAATTGCCGCCCGAGTACAAGTATAAATCGAATCAAGACAATTTGGAGTCGCTGCTATATGGTTTCTTTGACTATATTTCGACGTTCAAGTTTCACATAAACGGGATATGTATTCGCGAGGGAGTGCCCATCCGGAAACCGTCGCACTCGCCGCTTCATATCACCAATCCCCTAGAAACGACGTTGAACGTGTGCAAGAACGTAAACATTTACGAGTTAAATCGCTTAAAGATGAAGGCACACGATGCATTATTGATATTAGAGACTACTCACAACTCCAGAAACGGCAACTGGGGCTTTATGGTTTTATTAAACATGAAAAACGTTGAGATAATGGATATGTTGAAGTTAAATAGCAGAAAAGAACAGAGCATCGCGGATTATTCGGAAGATAGTTCCCATGAAATTCCTGAAGTTAACGAAGTTGATATCAATCAATCAAAGAAGAAGAAAAAAACGGTATGATGTTTAGACAAATAGCGATGTTATATATACATTTCATCTCTGCAGAAATACACATGTCACATGTATTCCTGCATGAGACGCTTGCAACAATTTTTTTATATCGATGATTTGGGGTATTATTTAGTGATGATGTCAGAAAAACAGAGACATTTTAAGCAAGAATAAAAAAAGAAGAAAACACATGAAGAAGATATTTTGTTGCAGCCAGTTGTGTGTACTATAATATGTGCATTGTGAAAATAGGAGAAAAATGTACATAAAATATTGATATTATATATATGAATCATAAATAAATACGGCTGCGTTCCGATATTCACTGCCAATACTGAAAATTTATAGTGAATGTGATGTAAATTATAGATTTTCAGTACTGGCAGTGAACATCGGAAGCTTACAGCTGTATCATAACGCAACCTACGTGTCTGCTGTAACATAATGCAATCAGTTACCGGGTTAATTTATTCATTTATATTCCTGGACACTCTCTGTTATATTCTGGACACTTTCTCGAAAATTATGGCTAAAATGTTTTTTTGCGTTTCATCTGTCAAAGTTTCTAGTTTTATGTGCAACAACCGATAAAATTTGACATATATACCAAGCGTCATATTTCTATCATGTTTTACACATGACATATAAGTGCGAGTATTTGTTCAATTAAACGAAGACGTGCGCCCCTTTCACATACACAAATGCGGTATATAAATCAAGGATATATTTATTAACTTGTATATATTTTACTATACCAGTAAATCGACATTTCTCATACATGCTTACAGTGTATATTCGCTATAATTAGAACGTTCATTATAATCCTCGCTGAAGATTATAAATTTTCGTTCTTGGTTAAATTCGAAACAACGATTAACGATCGTATTGACTTTCACAAGGAAGAGCCGATTCCTCGTAACACCGATTATATACTTTGCGTATATCTCTCGCTTTAGATAATTGTGAATATTATCGTTACGTGACAATCGATAACGTATGATCGTGAAGCGCCCGCGCGACGACACATCCATTGAAGGGCGATCTGAATTTATAATGCGATTGGCGATTACGAGTGAACGCGCTCAAATTAGGCTATTCTTCGCGAACAAATATCGTCGATTAAATTTGTAACGTATCTTGAGATTGGCAGTGTTGTTTATACTAACTATAAGAATTACCGTTTATTCGGCCGATCGAATTGCGCGACGTACTTTTCTGGACTATGCATCTGACCCGTTGACGTTCAAAGATAAAAAAATCTCGTGTAAAGTGATTAAACAGATTCGTGTAATTTTAACGAAAAAACGAAAATATACAGGACTTTTTCGTGTGAAAATAATAATAAAACCGAAATAATATCTGCGTCAGGGTAAAAGAACGAGATAAACATTATCTGTTTAGATATTATTTAAATTGCAACGTCAACCGCGGTTCTTCTGCAATTATTGTACATTATATACGCGCGTTTTTTTTTTATCCGAAAACTTTTTTTTTTCTCGCTATCCCTAATCAAGGCTCTACGTGTATCAACCACCCCAGGCAGGTCGCAGATCAACAATACGAGTAGCGGATAACGCATGATACTCTCCTTTTTTTCTCCGTTATCGTCTGATTTATAAGATAGGCAGCGATACTGACCTTCGGCGCTTTTTCATTATCAAGTGCAATTAAAATCGCTATAAAAAGTGTCCGCGAGAGCTGCATGTCGTCACACACGGTACAACTCTAACACGCGAGACACACACATAATATGAATCTCGAAAATTCGGAATAATACAAATACATCACGCATTTGGTCGGGATCTGAAAGAAATTTGATAGTCTCTCGAAAAGGAATATAAAGACGAAAGTGCACTTGTCTCGAAGGTGCTTCTCAACGGCTATTCTTTTCTTAAGACAGATATTTATATATCGCGCAATAGATTTTTTTCATTATTGTGTTTTCATATATTTTTTTATATGATTATTATTATTATTATTATATTATAATATCGATAGAATGTCCAAAATCTTCGAAAAACCGACAGTCGTCGGCTCTCGCAACAATACGCGTTCCGTTCCTAATAAATAACAAGTATATACTCAAACCTCGTGGGGGCACGGTGTGTTTAGTCTTTCGATAATTTTCTTTATCTAGGCTCGCGCGGATATCTATTCGAGATATCTTCGGATAAATAACTCTTCACATTACTCTGTTACGCGCGAAGAAGAGAAGGAGCTGCAAAAGGATCGAAAACGACGGAAAGTGCCTTATTAATTCGTCTTGCTCTTACGATGATGACGGTGATGATGCAAATGATGATGTCGCAGTTGAGAGCGCGTCTCCTGCACGGCCGCTACCAAAGTGCGCACTGCTTCCTCATGACCCTCGAAGCTGTCCGCTTTCTTCAGCTGACCTAGAGACGACGCCCCCGCTCCCGCACCCTCGCCACCACTGCGCTTGCTCTTGGGCCGCGGAAAGGTCTCCCAGGAACGCTGCTTCTGCACGAGAGACGACGACGTCCGTGACGTCGGTCCGATCAAAACGACCAGGGTTTTCCGGGGGTCCTGCGCGACGGATTGTTGACCTACCGTCCCATCGGCGATGCTCGATCGCCTGCTGTTGCCGGAACCAGTCGTACTCAGGCTGTCGCAGCTGGCTCGTCGCCGCCTCCTCGCATCGCTGGCCGCCTTCGCGCCTTCGGCGTAGAATAACTCCTCGGAATCGCTAGCTGGATAGATCTTGGCGGCTTTGCCGCTGACGGGAATTGGCGGTATCTGCTCGTCCGCTGGTACCGCATGCACCTGCGCCTGCACGCGCTTTTTGGCCTCACCCATGCTCGAAGCCTCCGAAATTCGTTGATACTCGCCTTCATCTCCTGCTGGAAGCACGTGTCTTTTCTTAGAGGACTATTTCGACTCTTGTTCGATAGAGGCGATTGCATGATTTAATAATAATTTGCTACGACAGCAAATGAGATACTTATATATTTTCTGTGAAAAATACGCGACAGATGTTACATCTCTTATCTCTTAATGTATATTTACATATATATTGTGTGTGCTGCGAACGGTGAGCGACTTTATGTATTTGGTTGTCGGACGTTTATCGCCTCTAAGTCTAAACCCGATATTTCGCCCCCGATCCCGCCCCCCTTCCCTTTCCCAGTGGACTACAAAGGAAGACCTGTGTGTCATAATGTATCAGTATTCGTTTGCGCAAGACAATTCGATGCGATTCACTCGTACCACTCCTTACCAATGTGAGATTGCGACTGCGAATCGGTACACCTCTCTGCCTGATCGAGCCCCTCTGCGGACGTGTCACCAGTACTGCCTTTCAAGGAGCGATACAATGACCGCATCTTACTACCGGACGAATGTCCGGGCGGTGTCTTCGGCTTCGCGCTGTCGGGCGATTTGCGCGAGCGCCGACTCTGACTGCGATCGCGACCGTCCTCTCTGCCGGGCGATTTCTTACGATCTTCCTTCTGCGTTCTGGCCTTCTCGATCAATTGACTAAGCACACCCCTCTTCGGATCGGTTGACTTGGCCGTCCCGTACACGACTATGTTGCCGCTCGAGTCCAATACAGCGCCCACGCCACCGGACGGTGTACGACATCGTGTCGGGATTTCCTTTGTTTCTGCGAACAGAGATTTTACGACTAATTAATGCTAATTTTGCAACAAACGCATCTAACTTGGCGACTTTGTTATTTTATCGATCGAAGAAACATCGAGAGATATATTTTCTCTCACCCTTCATATATAGCGCGTTGTCGGCACTCGTGGCGGTGCTACGAGAATGACGATGTTCCTTCGTCGGTGCCTGACCTTGCGGATGCGGCGGCGGTTCCTGCATCTGTAAGCGCGCCAGATGATCCAACAAAGCCTGTAGATGCTGATTGTCGGCGGCGTCTGCTGCGGCCAGACTCACTTCTCCGGCGCCGATGCCCGTGGAGAACGACTTTACGAAGGGCTCCAGGTGCTGAGCGAGCGCTTGCAATTTCTTCACTTCGCTCCTCAACGATAATATATCGTTCATCTACAAATAAAAGTAAGTTAGAAAAATAGAAAGAAAGATGCAACGAGAACTTGATGAAAAGAACGCACTTGCGAATGAAAGATTTCTTTTTCTATGTGAATCCTACACACTTGCTCCTCCCAGAGCGCATCAAAGACATTTCTGAGTCGCTCTAGTTCTATCTGATGATGCTCCAGCTGTTGTTCTAACAGGCGGCAATCCCTCGCCACATGGTCATAACGCGTACCCAACGGCGGAGTATTTGCTCTCTTCAAGACGGAGACGTCCCGTTGCAACTCACCCAATCGTTCCTTCACTGTCATCAGTTGTTGACTCAGTTCCTTCAACTGGGTATCAAAAGTCCGACAATGATTGGAGAACGGGCCGCCATCAATTCCGCCCTTCGACGGTAGCTTTTGAGTAGTCTTGCTGCTCTGTTGGAAAAATGTATTCCTGCCGTGTGAAAACGCGAATGATATGCACAGCGCATTAGAGTCATAATTTTACATTTGCGTTCTGTATTAACTCTCATCATCGACTATGTGAAACTATCTAATAATCTAAAGATCCTGTAAAGGAAACTCAATTCCGTTCAAGATATATTAATCGGTACGCTACAAGGAGTGAGTACTCCTCTACTCTCTTTTTCTCCGACTACTACAGCTATCGCCATATACACAATCAGTACAAAAGCCATACATCGTATATATCGACTAAAATCCTGTGAACAAAAAAAATACTTACACGGAAGAATGTGCACGCGAGAGAATGGCAGCGAAAAGGAAACTCGTAATACAAAAGTAAAGGCGATCACGATGAGAATCATCATCATCAATCGACTGTGAGATTTCTCGTTTCATCCGCACGTACCTGAAGCATCTGCGATTCCGTTGTCTGACCCAACATGTGACCGGCTGGTGTTTGATCGTATAGAGATTCGGCGGCGGCGGCGGCTTTCGCGATTTGCGTTTGCCCTATGTAGGGTTGCAGAGCGCGAGCAAAATCGGCGCGATAATTCGTCCTGATGTGGGCGGCGAGCAGGGGCGGTCGCGATGGATGCCCGAGCTGTGCGACGCGGCTCAGCCGCTCCAACATCGGATGCGCCAGTTCAAGGAACTGATACTTAGTCGCGCCGCTGGTGAACGCGGTGCACAGCATCAGGTGCATCTGCAGCACAGGTAACGCGCTACCCAGTGATAGTAGCTGCGCGCGCACCATACGCTCCTTGGTCTCAAACTGACGTTGCAGCTCCGTGAGTACGTACGCGTGCGTCTTGGTGATCGCCTCTTGCATGCCCTGACAGAACGCGCCTAAGGCGCGCTTCTCAGACTCGAGACTGTGGCGTAGCTCGTCTAGCTGGGATTTGAGCGCCAGCACGCCATCCCTGATGCCAGCCTGGAGCTCGCAGATGGAATTTACCGCGCGTTCCATCTTTTTTGAGGCCTGTTGCCAGGCACTCTCTATATCCACGCAATGCACCCGCGCGTCCGCGGGCGTGTCGCGGAAACACGTGGCGCACAGCATGCACTTGGCGCTCTGGCTATACATTATATACTGCTCCCCGTGGGTCGGACAACGACGTTGAGTGTCCTTGGCACATTTGCTCATGTGCACCACTTCGTGGGTAGAGAACATTTTGGCGCGATGAGTGTGCTCTCTACAATGGGTGCAAAGCGCTTGTCCTGTAAACGTATGAAATTCCTTTTTCTTTTCTTTATGTATATAGCGCAACTTAACAATAACAAGAAAAGAAAATATCTCCGTAGAACGTA